TCTGAATCCGGCCAGTACCTCCGGTGCCCATGATAGCAAAAAGAGATCCAAGAAAACACTGATATTTATTTATCTGGTGTTTTCTTTCAGATCTAGCAATGTGACAATAACACGTGTCACTGTCAGCCCTAGCCCTGCTGGAAACACCTTGAAAACTACGTGGAGGTTCAGAAAATAAACAGCAGTCGCTCTGATTCCGGTGATAAAATACCAGTGTAAGGAGAGCCTCCTGGGACCCATAATCTGGAATTGTCAGGGGATAAGAATTGTCTGTCTTTTTGATAAAAGATGTCAGCTACCCTTCTGGGTTTTAAACAGAAAGAAACACTTCTGATTAGGACGCTGCGTGTTCATCCTGAAGTCGGTTGAAAGAACCCGTGTGTGCAATGAATGGGCTTCACTTGCCCATCAATGTCCTTAAAATTCCCTTATCAGAAGAAAACTCAGGCAAATCAGAGTTACAGAAAGTCCACAACTCTGGAGCGCCTTGTTTTTCTCTGAGCACTTGCTTCATGAAGGCTGAAGTTTCCTGATTACCATTCTGTTCAAAAAGCCTTCAAAGACTGCTCCAGAATTAGTAATTTTTTTTTTTTTTAAGGCTCAGAACTAATTAGCCTCATGAAAGATTGTTTTGTTGTTTGTGGTCTGTGGTTGTTATATGGCTTGTTTTGCCTTGAAAAATGCTACAATTGCTTTTTTCTTCCTCAATTGAAATTCAACAGGGGAAAAAATAGCCCAATTAGGAATCATCAGTGGACTGCCTCACACATAATAAAGCCCTGAATAAATAAATATTTATTGAATGAGTGAATGAGCGAATGAATATTAAACAGGCTCACATCCTGGGACAGGCTAAGGATCCAAACTAGGAACTCAAATAGCCACCAATACCTGTTGATCAAAGCAAGCTAGGAGGCTAGCCAGTCTTATTAATACCAGTGAAATTCAGTTGACATTCAGAACCCTGTGAAAGGTCACGCATTCATTCAACAAACCTCCATGGGCTGTCCATTCTGCTCTAGGCTTTCTGCTGGCCTCTGGGGGTGCAGCAGGGAGGAGGATGCACAGTCCCTGACTAGAGCTCATATTCTAACAAAAGGAAGGTACACAGAACACAAGCACGCAAACTAAGAAAGACTTTTAGGTTTAACAAAGGCCATGATCGAGGTTAACAGGAGGTTAACTTGCTCTAGTTAGGGAGGTCCGGGAGGCCACTTTGAGGAGGTGTCATTTGGTCTGAAGTCTGAGAATGCACCAGGCATATGAAATCGTGGATGTTTGTGGAATATGAAGGAAATGTTCTTCAGAATGCATTAAGCTCCCTGTGGCTGCCATGGCAAGTTACCACCAACTCAGTGGCTTAACATGACGGAAATTTATTCTCTCGAGTTTTTGTTTTTTTTTTTTTAAGATTTCATTTATTTATTTAAGGGAGAGTGAAAGCGAGAGAGACCACAGAGGGAGAGGGAGAAGCAGACTCGCCACTGAGCAGGGATCCCGATGCGGGGCTCGATCCCAGGACCCCGGGATCATGACCTGAGCCGAAGGCAGATGCTTAACCGACTGAGTTACCCAGGTGCCCCTATTCTCTCAAGTTTTGGAGGCCAGAAGTCCAAAATGGGGCAGAGATTAAGGTGTCCGCAGACCTCACTCCCTGCGAGGAGGCTCCAGGGTTGGGGGGGTGGGGAGACGCTGTCCCTGTCTGTCCGGCTCTGGACCCTGCCAGCACTCCTTGTCTTGTGGCCGGACCCCTCCCTCCAATCTCCACCTCTGTCTCCACGTTGACTTCTGTGGGCCTATGTGTGTTTGCGCGCGTGTGTGTGTGTGTGTGTGTTTCTCCCCTCCGAGCCCTCACCAGAAGCAACTTGAATGTCCATAATTCTGCCAACAGTCTAATTAAGACAAGGCATGTTTTCTTTCTCTCCCGTGCCTCAGAATTCTTCCAGCTTTTACCCATTATTCAATTCTAAAGCTGCTTCCACATTCTGAGGTCTTTGTTATAGGAGGACTCCATTTCCTCGTGGCCAGTTAAAAATCTCTTTGGTTAATCAAGGTGTTTGTAGCACAATCTGGCCAGCTCAGAAGCATGTCGTGATGGAACATTCTAGAGGACCTGTGATATATTCTTTTAGCATCGATTTCCTTTTTATAGTAACCATTTTGTTTGGGAATACATCTGCAATGTATTATGTTGTTTGGTATTTTCCGAAACAAATAACACTATTATTTTATCTTTTTTTAAAAGATTTTATTTATTTATGTCAGAGAGAGAGAGAGAGAGCCCAAGTAGGGGCGGCAGGCAGAGGGAAAGGGAGAAGCAGGCTCTCCACTGAGCAGGGAGCCCGATGCAGAGCTCGATCCCAGGACCCTGGGATCATGACCTGAGCCGAAGGCAGACGCTTAACCAACTGAGCCACCCAAGGTGCCCCAAAACTCTATTATTTTATCTTTACTGACGATGGCCCGGAGTCATTAGGATGAACTCCTGTTGAGCCAGGACAGCAAATCTCTACTCTAAAGGCTATGAAGTATGCTCCTGGGGACCCCCACACTAAATGTTCCCAATCTGCTAAGTTTTGTGCCTGAAAGTCGAGGTCTCACAAAATTGCTTAGATAATTGATTCTTTTTCCACTGGGTTTTCTCCTAGGCTCCATGCACCCAGGGTCTTACTCCCATGACCTCCATCCCTGGTGGACATACCCAGCCCTTGCGAGAGGTTCTGCCATGAAGACATGACTTGGGGCCACTGTGATCTTTGCCAAACACAAATGGGTATGTCACTGCCCTGTTTCCACATTCGCCCTCCCCCTCCACCCCCATCTGCATGCTTAAAATCATTCCATATTTTCTCACTGCCTTTATGATGACCAGCCATTTCCATTGGCTTCACGTGGCCATAGGCCCAGGCCAGTGTGGCCCTGGTGACTTCTCCAGTTCTCCAAACCCCCTCCCTTACTCTGTCCTCCAGACATCCCAGCCTCTGCAGCCCCTTATATCTGCCACACTACCACCTGCCACTGGGCCTTTGAACCTACAGTTCCCTCTTCCAGAAGGGTTCTCTTTCCCCATCTCTCCCTTGTCTGCTGAGCTCTTCTCATGCTGCACGTCTCGGCCCCATTGTCTGTTCCCTCTGGAATCTTCTCCTGACTATGCTGACCAGGTCGTTTATCCCTACAGGCTCCCAAAGCCCTGGGTGGCTTCCCTCTGTTGCTCTCATCACAGATGACCAAATCTGCATTTATTTATGCGATAACACAACCCTCTGTCTCCCCCTGGCCGACATCACTCGCTCCCGAGGAACTCTATTTGTTCTCATCACCGCTGTGTCCCCCATATATCACACAGTGGCTGCTATATACTTGGTGAATGAGTGAATGAGTGAATAAATGAGTGACCCGCTGAAGTCCTAGATCACCAACAGCAAATGATGATCTCCAAGAGCACTGCCTTCATCTACTTTAAGAGAAGATAAATCACCTTTCTTTTCGACAGTCTGTACGTTTCCAGGCATAATCAGGCCCCGCCTCCACTCGAGATCAGCCTTCTACAACCCATACCCATCTTTGCTGGCCTGGGCAGGCCCATGTCTGTCATTCTGCAATAAAATGATCTGCTCTTGCCCCCTGAGATGAGCAGGGCACCAGCTCCCAATCCATGGGAGACCCCAGTCCCGGGGGAAAGCAAAACGCTGGGCACCCGCTGACCAGCTTCCTTGTTCCCCAGAAGGGCTTCTAGCTCTCCACGCTGTCTGACAGGGTCTGCCCCTCCAGCCATGCTCCAAAGGCGACACGAGTCAAAGAGGAACCACAGACACTGTCCCTGCTCACCCAGCAGTGGAAAAGCATGCTCGGTGTGGCCACTGGAACTCTGGGAGCAGGTTCCTCCAGCAGCCAAGGAGCATGAGTCGCCTTCCCGGAGTGCTGGGCACAGCCTGATCACACCATCTCCTAACAGCGAAAAGAGCAGGGCTTGACCGCGTGCACAGGACAGTCCGGCTTTGGGGGACCCGGAACGTCCAGGGCTTTGCCCACATCAGCAGGTGTCGGGATGTGAACTCCAGACCATGGGTGTGTCGGTCCCAACACAACGGTGCAAACTTTCTCATTGATTTAACCTCTAGTGCCTTAGTTTCCTTCTCCGGGAAGATGGGCTTTTAAATTTAAAAGCACCTATCTTCTAGGGGTGATGGGGAGGGTAAGTGAGTTGATCTAGGCAAAGTACTTAAAACAGGGTCAGCCACGCCAGTGCGGGTGCTATAAGAGCTATAAATTAGCTATGATTGTTGTTGTTGGCTATTACAGACATTGGTGAGTTGGCATGTTGAAATATCTCTCCCCTTAAGCATCAGAATGGTCATGGCATAAGATGGATTGATTCATCCAGTTCTAGGCTGGGGGACAATCCCGGTACATATCAATTTTCAAACAATGCACTATTTTAAAAAATGTTATTATTTATTTGAGAGAGAGAGAACACAAGCAGGGGAGGAGCAGAGGGAGAGGGAGAAGCAGACTCCCCGCTGAGCAGGGAGCCCGATGCGGGACTCGATCCCAGGACCCTGGGATCATGACCTGAGCCGAAGGCAGACGCTTAACCGACCGAGCCACCCAGGTGCCCCTGCACTATTTTTTAAATATTTTATGGAAATTGGATGGAAAGGAATGTCAACCTCTCTGGTGTGTCACAAGGAAGTTTCAGGGGCGCCTGGGTGGCTCTGTCGGTTGAGCATCAGACTCTTGGTTTCAGCTCAGGTCGTGATCTCAGGATCGCAGGATCGAGCCCGGTGTCTGGCTCTGCGCTCAACATGGAGTCTGTTTAAGACTCTCTCTCCCTCTGCCCCTCACCCCTGCTCACTTGCTCGCTCTCTCTCTCTAAAATAAATATATACATCTTACAAAAAAAAAAAAAACAAAAAAAACAAAAGGCTGTTTTAGACCCTACAGGGCCCAGGGATCCCTTTGAAGAGCCTGGGGGTCCCTGCAGCCCAAAGGCAGGCAGCGGGGAGGGCAATGAACACTGCAGGCTCTGGGACCAACCTCACCCGGGTTCAAGTCCCGATGCTGCCATTTACTATAGCTTCCCTGCACTCTCCCATGGACCTTTGCTCTGTGCGCATTTGGAAAATGGGAATAATACTAGCATGTTTGTCAGCGGGCCGTTGTGATCATTGACTAAAGCATGGAGCCTATGTCCCAACACAGAGTAAGTCCCTGATAAATGTTCGTTTCTGTGTGTTGGGATGGGACACAGTTCAGCGCTGCGAGGCATCTACCTGCGGTGGCTAAAAGCATAGAAGATGTAGGCTGATTTACAGGGTTTTTCAACCCAAACCCCATGCCCTCTTGCTTTTGTGCCAGTCATCTTGCTCATAAAAACCAAGCACCCGGAGAGCACTGGGTGACGGGAGTCAGCTCGCTGTCTGGGTTCCGGGTCAACGGGAGTGGACAGTGCTAGAGCAAGTCACTGCTCGAAGGTCTGGACAAAGCAGCGGCCCTGCTTGGCCCCTGTAGATGGGATGTGTCGTTTTGTTTCCAGTGGGGGGGATGGTGTCCTCTCTCCTTCTGTACTCACAACGAGTTCTAGCCAGACCGTATACCAGCTGCCTGCCCCGGACTGGTCCAGCGGCCATCTATCTTGATGAGAAGCAATTTCATAAATTCAAACAGGGCACGTTTCCTATGCAATTTATTTAGCTTAACAAGTTAATCAGAGTGCACGAGCCCAATTTGTCACCGTGCTGTTTTCTTTCGCTTGCCGCTCTAATTGTATAAATATGCCCAGAGGTTTGATGAAACTTCTAACGCATCAAACCACACATGGCCCACATACAGAGTGCACCGTGGCTACTTCGAAGCAGGGCGTCCCCCTCCTGAAGCTGTCAGTTCCTGCCCATCCGACAGCCTGGCACCATTAGGCGGCTACTCCTTTGGATTCAGCCTGGGATCCCAGAGCCTGGGGCATGGCAGGCGGGCGGCGGGTAAGGCGTGAGGATGCTGCAGAAGGCAGTGGTCCTGTCCCCTCTCCTATCCTCTCTCTCTTTGGGATTATGCAGAAGGGCCAATGGCCAGCCTCAGGGGCTCGAGAGCTCCATCCCTCCGGGGTCCAGGCGTCTTCTGTCAGCGTGTCGTCTGAACCACTTTCAGCGCCTGATTTATGAAGAGGCGGGTGGTGAGGCTGTCCTCCCAGTCCCTGGAAACTGATAATAAATCTGAGACAGGCACCAGAGTAGTGCAGCTCTTGGGGCTGGATGGCCAAGGAAAGGCGGAGGCGGGTAAAGCCAAACGAATGTGTCCGCATTTAGTTCTGGAAGTGTGACTTTGTAAGATTCCCTCTTTATTTGTTTTGAATTCCCGCCTTTCGGATTTCAGCCTTCTGTCTCCTCTGTGTTCCCATTCGCATTTTGACCTATAAATTTAAGTTTAATAAAGGAGGTGTCTAGCGAGGAGATAAAACGTACTACAAGACAGAACACTCCTCTCCCCACCGCGCCCCCCATCTTTCACACATGTTGTCTCAAGCCACAGATGTTTCCTCTGCTTTATCGATGTGCTGAAAAGAAATCCAATATGCCGGGTTTTCAAATTTTCCGCCACAGAAACAAAGACAACAGGAGGGGGAGAGAGGGCGTGCTTCGCCTGGAGCCCCGGCTAGGCTAGGAGGGAAATGAGAAGGGTGGGTGCCTGGGAGAGTGAAGGCAGTGGATCGCTGCTACTCCAGCTCACCCCCTGGCCCAGCTGAACCACATTCAAGTAAGACGTGCTCTGCCCACCTGTCGGGCACGGCGGCCCAGGCTACCCTGATGTCACGTTCCTAATGATCTTCCAGGGCTCCAGTTACGGGCCAGGCTGGGACTGTGCACATGGCCCGGTGGAGAGCTGCCCAGACCCTCTGCCCCGCTGCCTCACTCCCTGGGGATTCCTATCTCCCTGTGAGGTTAACTGCTCATGCCCTTATCCAGGGCCCTCCCGTGCCATGGCCCTTCCCACCACCTCCAGGAAGTCCCCTGGTGACCGAGTCCTCTGCCCACCCCATCCCACCGTCTCAGATGTCACCTAGCCACCAAAACTACTCTAGTAAGGGTTTTAACCTTAATTAACACCCATGGTAGCATCTACTGGAATGCTCACACCCCCAGAAGTCTGAACTGTGTCCCTAGCCACCCGGACCTAAAGTGTGGCCAAGGAGGCTCCCACCCCATTCCAGCCATTCATTACATCATCCTGTTGCCAGACTTGTGTCCCCCCTGCACCCCTCCCTCTCTGGCTACTGCCCCTGCCTGAGTTCATACACACCTCCCTCAAGACCCTGGCATGGGGGGCACCTGAGTGGCTCAGTCAGTTGGAAAAAAAGAAAAAGAAAAAAAAAAGATCCCGGCATGGGCAAATGCTTGTTTGTTTGTTTTTTTGTCAGAGAGAGAGAGAGCACACAAGCAGGGGGAACAGCAGGCAGAGGGAGAAGCAGGACCCCGGGATCACAACCTGAGCCAAAGGCAGGCGCTTAACCGACTGAGCCACCCAGGTGTCCCAAATGGTTGATTTTAATAGATATTTATTTTAATGTGGAATAGAAAATAAATGGCTTTTTTTCCCCCCACTTTAATGGTGATATAAAGCTCTCTTTTGGAACAAATGGGTCTAACTATAGAAGTAAGTCCATTTACAGTTTGAAAAGGTAGATAAGGGAGCCGGGCTACCTAGCGTGCTGATGGGGCAGACTGGCCGAGAGCAAGCACACTCCCGAGTCTGAAACCCAGCTCTGCGGTTTCCTTGCTGTATGACCTTGAGCAAGGTCCTTAACCTCTCTGTCCCTCCCAGGGTTGCAGTGAGGATTAAGCGAGTTACTGCTGCTTCTACACAGCGTGAGGTCCGTACGGTGTTGCTTCATCACCATCGGGGAACTCGGAACCATCAAGGCTGCTCCCTGTGCTTCTGGAATAATGTTTCTAAAAGCTGAACCTGATCATATCACATCCCGACTGAGAACTCTTTCCACTGCCGGGAGGATGGAGTCCGAACTTACCACAGTGGCCCCCAAGGTCTTCCACGGTCTATCTCCAGCTGATTTCTACATCTTCCTCCCCGGCCCTTGGTCATCTGCACTCTCTGCTGCTGCCACGCCAAACCCCTTCTGCGCCCCAAACGCACCTCATCCTCTCGTCATGCCTCCGTGCATTCGTCATGCCGTGCCCTCCGCCAGACCTGCCTTTCCCTCATCTTGTCCATGGAGGGCAAACTCCTCCTCATGTTTCAAGACTCGTTTCAAATATCAGTTCATGCAGGGATCTTCCTTGTACCTGCTCCGCAGCCAGGGTTAGGCTCTCTGAAACAGCAAAAATAAATGAATGAATGAATGAATGAATGAATGAATGAATAAATAAATAAATAAATATAGATTGCCCAAAGTGACTCCATTTAAAATCACAAAGCTAAACTTATTCGAAGTTAAAACATCTATTCTTTTAAAATTATACATGGAATCCCATGTTCATCGTGCAAAAGGGTTTGGTTTCGAGTTTATGTTGAACAATGAAAGGGAAATTATTTCAGATACATTTATCTGATTTTTTTTTTAAAGATTTTAATTTATTTATTTGTCAGAGAGAGAGAAAGCGAGAGACAGAGCACGAGCTGGGGGGGAGGGGGCGGGCTCGATCCCAGGACCCTGAGATCATAACCCGAGCCCTAGACAGACGCTTAACCCACTGAGCCACCCAGGCGCCCCACATTTACTTGATGTTTAACAACTTTTAGGCCACAGTGACAACCGAGTTCATTTTGAGAACTCACCAAGAACAACTTATGTTCTTAGCTATCATTTCCCTATGCTAAGAACCACTGCGTGGTGTGTTGATCCAAGTTTTCTCCCCGTGTTTGACTTACAAAGCAAGCTTATTGCCCATTTTGTGAACACACCAGAGGACTTGATTCATTTTCTCAAGATTCTCTCAGGACCTTGACCCCGAACTCATCCTTTGGCGAAGCACTGAGTGGGTCATCATCCCCATTGCTCTTCCTTTATTCACTGGCCCACTGCCTTAGCTCCACCAGGTTCTCTTCGAGCAGAGGCTTTGAGAACAGCCCTGAGGACTTCCCCAGCATCACCTGCATCAGCTTCGTGAAACCCTGCGTCTTTACAAGACTGGTGATTTCAGATTGCAGTTACTTTGAGCTGTGTTAGCCGTGTGTTTTACGATGTGGACAGCAGAGGATCATGCAGACAGATTTATGCAGGGCATTTGCTTCTCTCCACAGCCCGAGCTTTCGGAGACTTCAAAAATTAATACTTAGTTGGCAAGGACCTTGGTCTCTCTTCTATGTCCAACCATCTCCAGGTTATAACCGGATGTTTATCTTTGGGGGCACACACAAGATGTGCATTCAGTCCTCATGTCCCCCTTTCTGCGTCTGTTCCCCTCACTCCTCTCTTCTTTTCCAAGCTCTGCGCCAGCCTCCCAACACCCTCAGGCAACGACACACACAGCCTTTTCTTCTTGCTCTCATTTTCAAAATACTTGAGGTTGAGAAAGGCAGTTCTCGTAGATAACATCAGGCAGGAATGGCACATATATTTTAATTATTATGCCAAGCCTTATCAATTAATGTGGCTGCTCCCAAGGTCAAGGGTCGGAGACCAAGTACTGCCTCTATGCAAAAGACCGCCATTGTAGACGACCTATGTCTGCCCTGAGCTCAACCCGAGAGTGGTAGGAATGTGTAATGGGATTCTAAACCTAGTCCAACGTGGGTTTTAGACCTGTGGCTCCTCCCCAAGAGTTCTGCATAGCAAGTCCCCTCTCTCGTCCTGTTCAACAGTCTAGAAACCACCCACAGAACCTCTTCTATATGCCAGAGCTTAGCCCAGAGCCCCGAGGAAGGAGCAGCTTAGGCCCCTATAAAGGAGTCTCTCATTGCTGACCGGGGTGGGGATGGGGTAAGGAAGCTTTTTTTCCTCCTTTAGAAATACCCCCAGCCCCAAGATAGTCACCTCTCCAGTCCTGAGGAAGAGTGTGAGCCGCATTTCCCACATTCATCGGCATAGGTCACAGAGCTGATAGAACCAGAGACACCAGAAACGGGTCATCAAAAACAAGTCTCCATTTTGGTAGCTCCTACTCCCTTTCAGTTAAACAATCCATTCGTTCATTCATTCATTTGTTCATTCACTCATTCAGTGAGTCAGACCATCAGTCAACAGTCCTATGACACAGAGGGGCCGAAGTCGGCCAGGTCCACCCTGGGAGCAGGGTGGGCGTGTCAAACAAATCTTTTAGAAGGAGCAATAGTTTTGTGAGGTCATCATTTTTATAATGCCAAATTTGTTTAATTCTTAAATTTTTATTCTGGAGAATTTGAACAAATACAAAGGGTGACAGAATATAATAAACCTCCACATATCCTTCACCCAATCCCATCAATATATTTACTGTTCATTACATAAAGAGCACATGAATACATTCAATTTGTAAAAATTGTTTTCAAAGAGTGCTCGCTTCGGCAGCACATATACTAAAAAATTGTTTTCAAAGAGTCGATATAAAGCTTGAGATCTCCTCCCCCAATCCCATGTCCCTTGCCAGAGGTGACTACTATCATGAGTTTGATGGGTCGTCCTCCTGACCTCTTTCTATAGATACCTCTAGAAATATGTGGTATTGCTTTGGCTTTGTTCTGTGAGTCTGTTTGTTTGTTTTTTAAGTGTTGCATTTATATGATTTATTTTGCAACTGTTTGGATCTTTCTGCACTCTGTTTTTTGTTTTTTTTTTCACCGACAGCAAGTCTTAGAGAGTTTTCCAAGTCTGTATATAGAGTTCCACCCCTCGGTCACCACTGAGAGTTCACGCTAACCAGAGGGGACAGGGACATGAAGTAAACCCCGGGGAGATGATAGCAGTCCCAGTACATTATTATTTTTTTTTTTAAAGATTTTGTTTATTTATTTGAGACAGAGAGAATGAGAAAGAGAGAGCACATGAGGGGGGGAGGGTCAGAGGCAGAAGCAGGCTCCCTGCCAAGCAGGAAGCCCAATGCAGGACTCGATCCAGGGACTCCAGGATCATGACCTGAGCCAAAGGCAGTCACTTAACCAACTGAGCCACCCAGGCGCCCCCAGTACATTATTTAACCATTGCACTGGGATCGACATTTAGGTTGTTTCCAGCTGCCTACTAAACAATGCTGCAATAAACATCTTTGTGCAAAGTATCCTGAGTTCGTGTGTAATCACCTTCCTAGGTGGTAGATATTTACAGGTGGAATTGCTGGGTCAGGGGCGTGCTAGAACTAAAAAATATTCTTTTCCCCACATTACACAATACTGAAATTGTTACACTTGAAAATTTTTTGCAGTCTCATAGGTGAACGGATGTATATGATTTAAATTTTAATTTGCACTTCACCGATAACTGGTAGATCTGAGTTATCTGTTCTTTGGGTTGCTTTTATCTTCTTATATTATTTATATATATATATAATTTAATAAAGATGAGGGTATTTGAGGCGAAGACACATGGCCTGTGGTGGCCACCACCAGGGTTTATTTCATGTCTCCTGTCCCCTCTGGTTACTAGAAATCCTCAGTGAGGCTGAGTGGTCCCACTGGTTGAGCGTTGTGAGCTCTGTGGTTGGAGGTTATAATAGAAACACTGGACATGGGCCCTGACATCCAGGATTGGAGGAGATTCCAGAAAAAAATGAGACTTCTCTGACATCTTTAACCAGGGAAGGCATCTTGGAGGAGAAGCTAGGCAGGCTGTGTTAAGGGTCCAAGACGGTCGAGGGAAGAGCAAGCCGAGAGGCCTTGGCTCCAAAGTGTGGGTTCCCAGCCCTGGCACCTCTCCACCGCTTCGAGGCCCCATGCTGAACAATCAAAGCGACGGACAGCCTACCCCATTAGGGCCCGGCCCGTGGGACCCAGTCATCCCCGGAGAACTGGCATCAGCCCCAGGAGAAGGCACAGCTGCAGAAGAAGCTAATGTTACAGGTAATTTTGGCAATTAAGACTCATGTTCAGTTAAATGGATTTATATCATGTTACTTGGGAGGCCCAGCAATCTGGGGTAGGTCCCAAGTGGAATTAAGCATGGAGAACTCTAAGTTCCAAGCCCAACCCCGCCCCAGGCTTCCTGTCCAAGAGTACCTTTCCTGCTCCCCGTCCAAGAGCTTACAGCAAGAGAAGTCCCTGATGGAGGGGCTCCCTGTCCCACTTCCCTGAATTTCTACACAGAACCTGGCAACACATCAACTATGTGACATCCCCTTTGCATCTTTAAAACAACCTTGTGAGGACCCTCCCCGTTTTTCAGATGGGAAAACTGAGTCTGGGAAAGCTGAAGCCTCTTCTTTAAGGACACTCCTAAGACGACTCAAACTCAGAGATTATGACTGAAGATCTAGAGGTCTCTTCCTCATACCAGTATTTAAAGTTTTTTGTCTTGTTTTATTTTGGTTTTGCTTTATCTGTAGGTCAGCTGTACCACGATCTACTTAATATTTTTCTCTGAGTTAATTCCCTTGTGAAAACTTATATACCTTTCCTCTAGCAGGAATACTCAGGAAATCATAGTTTTGATGGATAAACTACATATGTTTACTTATATGCCCATGTAACTATGGAATAAACAGAAAAACCTCATTTTGTATATTACCCAAAAGTCTCCTATGGATGGCCAGGACTCCGCATTCATGCCTCACCTTGGAAACACTGCCTGAGAGCACACTGCTTCTTTGGGGGACTGTACCCCTCCACCTGGAGGCCAGCCCTCTGCTGGGGGCAGGGGTACGAGGGTGAATAAACTCTGGTGTCAGGCAGACCAAATCCCATCCTCGCTACTTACCATCTTTCTGAACTTGATCAAGCCTCTTAGTCTCTCTGAGTCTCAGTGTCTGTGTCTGTAAAATGGGGCTAATCATAGTACCCTCCTTTTGGGCTGCTGAGATAATTAAATAATGCAGGAGATGAGTGTGACACTTGGCAGCTTCTCATTATGTTCTGTGGTCTCTGGGAAGGAAAGGAAGCAGGGCATGACCTGGTTCCTGCCTGCAAGAGACCAGGGTAGAGTTCAAGTGCCTGATGATCTGCAAGGCCCAGTGTTCATACCTCTGGGCAGAATGCAGAGTCTTCAGAGCTTCTGCTTGGAGCTCAGGCCTCCATTTGGCTACACTTTGAGCTCAATCCAGACAGGAAAAGTAAGGACCTCAGAGCAGCTGGCTGGTCCCCCCTCTCCCTCCCCACCCCACCCCACCCCCCGCCCCACAATCTGGACAGGGCAGGCAAGGCTGGGACATGGGAGTTGGAGGAAAAATTGCTTGGGTTCGCTGCCCTCTCCACTGATCTCACTAAACGATTCAGGGCACATCTATCTGCTTTGAGGGTGGGCTCCACCTGGGATTCCCAGGAAGCTGGAACCTCCGCCTATGCATAGGAGTGGGGGTGTGGACAGAGCCACAGGATGACGTTGTTTGTGGGCCTTGGGCACTTTTACTCTTACAGGCCCCTTCCTTCGTAAAAAAAAAAAAAAAAAAAAAGTTAGAACTTATATTTTACAACCGTGTTGGTATAAAAACAAATCGAATCCTGGCTGGAATCGTTATTTATTTATTACTATCACATTCATCTTCTTCTTCTGATTTTAAAAGAAATTTACATGAAGGGCGCCTGGGTGGCTCAGTTGGTTAAGCGACTGCCTTCGGCTCAGGTCATGATCCTGGAGTCCTGGGATCGAGTCCCACATCGGGCTCCCTGCTCAGCAGGGAGTCTGCTTCTCCCTCTGACCCTCCCCCCTCTCCTGCTCTCTCTCTTTCTCTCTCTCAAATATATAAATAAATAAATCTCAAAAAAAAAAAAAAGAAATTTACATGAAGACCTTCTCATGCACCCCTAGAAGTACTGTGGGCTTAGCCACTGTGCCTACCATACCTGGAGGACAGGCTGTCTCGGGGTGTAGGGGGTCTCAGGGTATAGAGGTGTTCCCTAGTGCAGAGTCCAAAAGGTAAATGCCCATGGAGGAGTTGCTCCCAAATTGACACTCAGGTACTCCAGGGTAAGCCTGAGTTTTCCAAACAGTCTGCAAGGGGCTGTCCTCACTTAGACAGTGGAACCAGACCAGAGGCAAGAGCAAACAGCCCAGGCTGGATCCTAGGGTTCAGATACCAGATTCCAGCTCCTCTCCAAATGTCAAAAGTGGAAAGAGAAACCCAACCAAGGAGAGGAGCTTGATGGGTGCTCCGGCCCTAGGAACCAATGTCTCCCACCCAAGGTCAGTGTGACCCTCAACAGACTCCCACCCGACATGTTCCCATTCCCCACTCCCCAAATACAAGTTCATAGTAGCAGGACAAGCCCTCAGCCTGGCCAGCTCTGTGTAGAATACTTCCCTGATTGTTGGAAGCAGAGCCCTTGGTTGAGAATGGCAAACCAACCCAAGTTGCTTCTGCAAAAGGGGGGATTTGTCACAAGGCTTTAGGATATTTCAGGGAAGCCAAGGGCAGGAAAACACTGCTTCTTCGGAGGAGACTGGAACCAGGAGCTAGAGAACCATCTGGGGGAGGGCTCTCTCTCTTTCGTCTCTGTGTCTGTACACTTCATTCTTTTCCTCGGCAACCTGGTCCGGCGGCAAAATATGGCAGCCCCATGCCTTCCGAGATTTCGAGTTCCCATTCGGGACGCCCTCAGACACCGCAGGGCTGTCTCTTTGCCTTGAATTCCTGATCGCCAGGAAAGAGGAGCTGATGGCTCAGCTTGGGTCAGGGGCCCTTCCAGAAAGGGACTCCTGGGTGCCTGTGTCCTGAGGATTAAAAAGCAATTCTAGGTTCCAAGGAGCTGGGAGGCCAGCTGGGAAGCTCCCTTAGCTTGGGCCACCCAGTTTAATCACATAGTTCATCAGAAGCAGAAGGAACGGAAGTCGAGTTGGGTAGCCAAAATGCACCCAGTCTGCTGGATGAGGCGACCACGGGGGCTGGCAGGCGAGCCATCATCCTGACCCAGCTGTCCTCATTGACATTGCTTACAATCCTTCAACCAGAGTGTGATATTTACCCAACAGCCACCCCTGGGGTCTTGGTCACAAACACACCACCCGGACCAGGCCACAAAGAGCACTAGGGCCGCAGGACTCCCTTTTGTGCCAGGACGCAACCCTCTTTCCAAACTGAGGATGGTTCCCTGACACACACCCCTTCTCCACGGGCCCCGAGGTGAGACTCAGCAAGAGAAAAGCAGATCCAGGCCGGGCGCACCTCGGAGACCGGCGGGAGATGGCAGTCCCCATCCAATAGCTCAGCTCTGGGCAGCGGCTGAGCCTTCAAGCCAAGAAAGCTACGGCCAACATACCAGCATCCCAGACGCTGAGCAGATGAGATTGATCTTCTGCTGTCTCTCCCAGGGAGCATGCCAAGTTCCCCGGACCCAGCCAGTGCTGACATTTAAAGCAAAGTGTGTGTCAACCATATTCAACAATATCCCAGGCTGTGGGTTATTAAGTGCAGGGTGAATTGACCACAGCAATTAAACTGAGATTAGGGAGTGATAAAGCCAGGGTCCCGGGCCGCAAGCCCCGTAACATACGGGGGCCCATTACGAAGTGTGAAAGCCGCGTCAGAAACTCGGCGGCGGGGCCTTCCAGTCCCCCCAGTCCCCCAGCTCCTCACCTTTACTTGACTTTTCTACCTCCGGCCATCTGATGTTCTCCAGAAGACACCGCTCACGCCCGGCATCCGGGAGTGATTGGAGACTGCCAGGTAGGGCCCGGGGAACCAGTCCTCAAAGCAGTGTCAGACGCGTCGTGTCTGGAGGGGCTCGGCCTCCTGCTAGCGCCTTCTCGATTTGAATGATGCACGACGTGGGGTCCACCTGGAACTCCAGGCGCAGGGAGAAGGGTCGTTCTCAGGCCCCCTGGGGGCACCAGGCAGCCTCAGAGCAGCAACTGAGGCTTGCACAGGTAGGGACAGGCCAGGAAAGGCCCAGGGAAGGCCAACCCTCTCTGCCATCGACTGGGCAGAACGTAAAGGCGAGGGGAGGCCATCCTGGCGCTGGACACGCACCACACCCCTTGACATGAGCTGCCCTTTGAGTCACCGGCTTCAGCCCTCTGAGCAACAGGGCCGTGGTCTTGCCAACAGCCCGTTGGCCTGTCCTCCAGGTCCCTGGCTGGCCCCGGACATTTAGATGTTCCCTGGTGTGTGGGTGGGGGAAGGGGTGTCCAGAGGAGCCTCTTCTTCTAGGTCTGGGTCTGAGCCCTGGGCCCTCAGAGAGCCGCCTTTTCCTCTCGAGGATTCCCCGTGGCCAGAGAGAGATGGCTCCAGAGCCTCTTGTCCCAGGAGCCTTGGTGGTTCAAGGCTCCGTGGTTGAGGGCAAAGGATCTCGGAGGCAGACAGACTGCAGCTCGAGTTCTGCGGCTGCCTCTGGCTCACAACGTGACCAGGAGCAAGTGAGTTGCCTCCTGTTTTCTCATGTATAAAATGGCCCAATAACAGGATCTCTGGGTCAACGTGTAGATACATATATGTTTATGTATGTATAACTTACCTGTACATATTCTGGGTTGGGGGAGAATTTAACACATGGAAGGCCCCCTATCTACATTGCTGGTGGTCGTTTCTTATATTTTTCCGGGAGAAATCGCCATTGAATTCTGTCATTACCCCTGACGATCACAGTGAGTTTGTACTCTGGTCTGTCATATCAAATCTTGCCAAGAGGTTCCTTCCAAGGCCAGCGAAACACATGTACTGTTTGCCCTGCATCTACTCCCCAGTAGAGCTTGAGGGGACTGCTGAGTCTGCAGGATGTCAGTGCATCTCAGACTCCTATAAGAACTGGCTTCTAAGGAGTTAGCTGGGAGGACGTCCTGGTGGCAGTGCCGAGGGTGGGGAGAGCGAAAAGCCAGAGGACTTCGCCCCATGCTGTGTCGTCTCTCTGGCCTCGGTGGTTCTCAGAAAGTGCATCTCCCCGTGGCACAAGCTTCTTCCAGATGGGAAGCTACAGGCTGTAGCCTCCACTGGGGGACTCTGGTCCCTGTGTTTGGGAAACCCAGCCTCTGCCCTTTATCGCTGCAGCGCAGAGAGACTGGGCTGATAGCTGTTTCCAGTTGCTCCAAGTCTCCAGGTTAACCTATTGCACCCGCACCCCGGACCCCCTGCTCAGTGCCTCTACTCTTGCTCCAGCTGTAATCAAGTCCCTGCCCTCACTCTCCTCTGTTGAAAACACTTGAGTTTTAGGTGGAATTTAAGAAACAAAACAGAGGAGCCTAGGAGAACGGAGGGGAAAAATAAAATAAGACGAAATCAGAGCGTGAGACAAACCATGAGAGACTCTTAATCACAAGAAACAAACTGAGGGTTGCTGGAGGGGAGGGCGGGGGGGGATGGGGGAACTGGGTGACGGGCATGAAGCAGGGCACGTAATGTGATGAGCACTGGGTGTTACATACAACCCACGAATCACCGACCTCTACGTCTGAAACTAATAATACGCTATGTTGATTAACTGAATTTAAATAATTAAAAAAAAAAGAGAGAGAGAGAAGAAAACACTTGAGTCTGGCTGGACCCTAACCCATCCACACCCCTCTCCAACGTGTCTTTGTTGCATTCAGAGAGGGCAAGGTCCTGGAGAATTTCTCAGGATTTGACTTTTAATGGATAATGTGCCAAAACATACACTCCTGATGGTAAGCCCCGGGGCGGGGGGCTGGGACTGTTAGGTTAACACTTGCATTCCCGCAGCCCAGAAAAGGGCTGACCCGTAGCAGACATGCCCATAAATGGATAAACTAATGATATGAAGGAAGGGTCCACTGCCTTCCAGTGGACCCTTTTGGGGGAGGGGGGTCCATGATCATGGTTGGGTTCACTGAGGGAAGAGTTACACTTCTGTTTCAGCTGGTTGTTTATCACCAGAAATAACGATGATGGTGTTCAGAGGGTTAAAGAGATTTCATCCCAGCTACCAGAAAGGCCAAATTTGCCCCCTGGACCAAGTCAGATGTAGCCCGGTTATTAATGGAGAGCACTCTGTAACCTTAGTCCTAATTGAGCATTCTGCCCTACCCTCATTTTCTTCCTTGCTTTGCTCCTTAAGTGGTGGAGGCAGTCAGGGGGGCTGGAAACCATCTTGTTTTATTTAACATATCCTTATAAATTGCCCAAAGTCCTGTCCGGTTGGAGACAGATCTGAACAAATGAATGCAGTAATAATGTAACCCAGAAATAGTGTGGGTTGGGGAAACGGTTGAACCCAATGCACTGGGCCTAGTTGCAAATGGGTCCCTGAGGTTAAGATGCCACTGGCCAAGCGTTTTGAGCATTTTTGGGTTCTGAGTGGTCAGGAAGGATGAGGAATCTCTGCCCAAAACTGAGTAGGTTCCAAACTATAAAAGCTTTGGGTCAACCATAAAGACATATATATTTGGTGTTCCTGGGAAGCGGGGAGAGGGGGTCTTCAGACTGCCATCTGGCTTCTCAGCAGCCCCCCACCCCCCACCCCCAACCACACTGAAGCTGACTTAGAAGGACTCCAGGCTTTACCTCTACCCTGGATCCCAATTCATCTGCCCCTGGAACTAGCCAGCAAGACCTTGCTCTCACACTGGAAATCTAGCACCCAGGAAATCTTCTGATCAACTAACTCTGACTATAGTGTGAATAGTCTTATATGGGCTCTATGTGTTCACATGTGAATATGAAGGGTGCCTTAAAATCCAAGTCCTTTGGGAAGGATGCTAGACACCATCAATGGAACTGTAATCTGGGAGATTTCTAGAAGGGGGGTCTTCCCACTGATAGTCTACTGACTTACCCTCCAAATTGCCCTTCCTGGTTACAGTTCAGCCCCAGCAGGACCTTTTGAAGAAGCTATGTCCTCTTCCTGAGCCCTGGTTTTCCATCTGTTACTTAAGTGGATTGAATAAAGTGGCCTCTTAGATCCCTTTAATTCAAAAGTTGATTCTTTGAATCCAAATTTCTTAGCTAGACATTTAAATCTTCCCATGATGTGACTCTAAACTCAACTTTATTATCCATGACTTCCCCTACAGAAACCAGACAGACCATATTAACCATGCTATTAATAATCATATAAAATCACTGGTGTTTTGGTGTTTCTTGAGTACTTACCGTGAGCCAGGCATTACTTCAAGTACTTTCTCCATCTGATCCTCAGACAGCCCTAAGATATCATTCCCATTTCACAGATGAGGAAACAAGGGCTTAGGTCATGTGTCTGCCCAGCAAGTAAAGGCCGGGCCAGGGATCAAAGCCAGGCAGCCTGTGCCCTAAGCCATGACATCGTGCTGGGTAGACTTGTCCCCCGGACAAAAGAGATGCAGGCACCCGTCTCCCTGTACAGATGCTAAAATTAGGCTCAGAGAGGTTAAGTCACTTGGTCAAGGTCACGCAAACAGTAAGCGGCCTCTGAAGCACTTCCCTTGGGCTCCACCCTGTTCCCACTGGATCCCAAGACCTTCAGGCTGCCCTCTGGCTTCTCAGCAGCCCCTCCCCCATCACCCTGGAGCTGCCTTACTGAGTACCTCCCTCCCTCGCTCTGCTCTGTCTCTCCCTCTTTCTCTCTCTCTCCACCTCCACCCTCCCCCCGCCCCCACACACACAACCCCCCTCCCCCACTTCTAACTACCTGAACAGCCTCCCCATCTCTTGGCTGGAAAAGCAGCAGAAAACCTGGATCAGAGGGGGACAGAGGGTCTGGGAGACTCAGCAAAGGCAGCTCTTTTCCATGAAAATAAAAATCAAGAAAGCCAAAGTCTTTTAATCTGACCCAGAAAATAAACTTCCTTTCTTCTGGGCTGGGGTAATAGATGCCAAGATCCACCTCAGGCCTTTAAAAAACAAAACCAAAGCAAACACTACTAAGCCTTAAACCCCTCTATGATTCCGTTTATAATAAAAACATTGACTTCCCCTCTCCCCTGGTGGGGCGAATTACTGCGGTTGAAGAATCTGTTTTCGTAGTCAGCTAATTACTCCCTTAAAGGATGGCTGATGATCTAACTTCCCGCCCTCAGCTTGGCCTCAGAGCTCCCCAACTTGGCTCCAGAGGGCTCCATGGATGAGAACCAGGCCCAAGTGGAGTGGGAAAGGACAGGGCAGAAGCCCTCAGGACCCCCACCCCCCAGAGCATGGAAGGAGCGCCCTGGAGGGAGAAAATCTGGCTTCCCAGCCTGCCTCTGCCACCTCCCGTCTGCTCAAGTGACACTACTGCCTTCCTGAGGCTCAGTCTTCTCATCTGTAAAATGGGGACGCCAATGGCGCCGGGAGGAGTTGAAAGGCCGCAGTCTGGCACCGAGCGAGTGCTCAGTACACACTAGAGTCTTCCCTTTTTCTAGTCCTACTTTTCCTTTCCTTCCTGGGCTACCCAACACTGAAGAGCCTGGAGAAGCAGTTGCCTTCCCAGCTTGTTCTTGCTCAACCATAATAGCCATAATAACTATAATGAACATTTAATGAGCACCACCAGCCAGAATGTGTATTGAGGGGTTTAGAGCTGTTACTTTATTTAATTCTAGGAATGATCTCATGAGAAACATCCTACTATTAGGCCCATTTTACAGAAGGAGCAACTGAGGCTCAGAAAGGCCAACTTACCCACCTAGGAAGTGCTGCTGTAAATTAAAAGTCAGCCCTTTGATTTGAATGCCCATCAGTCCCCCATACCGGGGGCCTCCACAGAAGTCAGAAGAATTGAAGTCTTCTCCTCTCCCTGGGAGATGGAAGAGAAAAGCCAAGGTCCTGGGCTGACTCCATGGATACCAGACCAGAGGCAGAGGCTCTGTTCTCTACCGAAGTGTGGGTTGGGGTGGAGAGAGGTGGCGCCGGGGCCCAGCTCAGGTATCATTTGATCCTACCATATAGGGGAGGTCCTCAGTTCTCCACGATGCCCATTTGGAAGAGGAAAGAGGGAACAGTGGTGAATACCC